GTGGTCAGGACAAATCAAGGTGTACATTAATAAGTGAATTGTCTAAGATATAGGATATTGGTACAACTGAAAAACAAATGAAGAGTTCTTAAATATACTTGCATATAAGGCATCAGTAGATTAATAACTAAACTGGCATAACGTCACCTGTTTCTAGCATTTTAAATTTTGTTTATGGTACATTTAGCAATAGCACTTACACTTATATACCATTTCACAGTGCTTTACAGTCATCTCTAAGTATTTTACAGAGTCAGCCTATTGCCCCCAACAATCTGGGTCCTCATTTTACTGACCTCAGAAGGATGTGAAGGCTGAGTCAACTTTGAGCCTGGTGAGATTCGAACTGCCAAACTGCTGGCAATCGGCAGTCAGCAGAAATAGCCTGCAATACTGCGCCACCTTAGCTCATTTATAATTAATGTCAACATATTTCAATTATCAGTTATATTTTTGTAATACAATCACATTGACTAGCTTAAAAGTCCATAGCTTAAAATTACCAAGATAGAGTTGCAGCATCCCCTTCTGGTTGGAAGATCAGTTTTCATCTATCCACATGCTCTTAAAGGAGTCTCAAGAATCACAATGGTCATAAAATGTAATACTATCTTAGGTCTTTCTAACAGAACTTTCTAACAGAATATACCCCACAACTCTATCTGGGAATATTGGAGTTCATTATTCAGAGTTAGATAAAGTGAATCTTGAGGCCATTATTCTTAGAGATGAATTATCCTGCTGAATTTCACAGTATTAGCAATAGCACTTAGACTTATATATCGCTTTATATTGTTTTACAGCCGTCTCTAAGTAGTTTTACAGAGTCAGCATATTGCCCCCAACAATTTGGGTCCTCATTTTACCCATCTCAGAAGGATGGAAGGCTGAGTCAACCTTGAGCCTGGTGAGACTCGATCTGCCAAATTGCAGGCAGCCAGCAGGCAGGAGAAGTAGCCTGCAGTACTGCACTCTAACCACTGCACCACCGAAGGTCTAGCAAATACAATCCACCTGATGTTCCTTGTTATTAATTTTATCCCATATAAGGCTAGGAGTAAAACAAAAACAGGAAAAACCAATGACAGACATACAGATTACAAGCAAGTAGCTAACTTTAGGAGCTAAACTGATTAAGCCTCTTTAGTACTTGGATCAAGGAATACCAGGGTTATGGGTAGCCTGAGCCTGAATTGAAAAGAATCCTGAAAGGCTGAAATGAGTTCTTAGCAGTGGTGGGATTCAAATTTTTTTACTACCAGTTCTGTAGGCGTGTCTTGGTGGGCATGGTTAGGCCATGTGACTGGATGGGCGTGGCTTTTTTTGCAGTTGTCCCACCCACCCATTTTTGGGCCTTCTGGGCCTCAGAAGAGCCCCTGGAGGGACGTTTTTGCTCCCAGAAGGCTCCTCTGAGGTTCAGGAAGAGAAAAAGCAAGCATGGGAGGAGCACGCAGCACCCCACCATGCTCCATTTTGGGACCTTCCTGGCCTCAGAGGAGCCTCTGGAGGGGGCTCCTCTGAGGCTCAGGAAGGCAAAAAATGGAGGGAGGGGATGAGCCCCTCCCTCCATTTTTTGCCTTCTTGGGCCTCAGCAAGGGGAATCCCAGCACAGCTGATTGTATGAACAGCTGATTATCGGGAAGGAAAAGAAAGAAATATCTTAAGGGGCCAGCGTCAGGCGGGCAGGCTGAGCAAGCATTGGGAGGGACCAAATGACCCCGTGACCGGGTCAGGGGTGTGGCCAGCTAGAACTTACTACCAGTTCAGCAACCCACGCCAAATCCTTGCGACCGGTTCACCCGATGCAGTGCGAACCGGCTGAATACCACCACTGGTTCTTAATATAGTCTTGGGAAAGATTTCATGAGCTTTCAAACCATAAATGTTATTCATAGGGAGGGAAAAGGGAAGATAACTATAATCTATTGCATCTTTATTAAAGAGTAAACCTCACTAGTTTGAGGATACTTTGTCCCAGTTATTGTTGCAAACTGTAAAACTACAGTCACAACTTCAGTGAAGAGAATGCATAACTGATGCAAAATCGTGAAACCCACTTAATTAGAACAATGCTGTGTAGTTCACATATAAGTAAAATTTGTATCTTGTTACTTCAACCTTCATTTTTTAAAAAAGAAATTGATCATGAGCTTACTCATACTCTTAATAGATTCTATATAATAGATTTGTTCCTGATTTTTTTCCCTCACCCATTCTATACTTTAAGAGCATTAACATTTACTCTGTTTTATAGATACCTGTTGTATCTTTCAGGATTAGTTAAAGATTAAATAATGCCACTCAAAGACTTGACTTGGAAGTCCTAGTAAAGATAATATCCAGCAGGTGAAATCATATTTGTAAAAGTGGTTATTTTTACACACATTATATATTAAACTTTCTCAAAGTGCCATCGTCCATAAAAGTTGGAAGTAATTTCACACAAAACTGAGGACACCAAACAGGGGAAATTGCTATAAATAAAATATATTGATTATTTATAAAAATACTTTATATGTAATTTAACATCTCAGTAAAGTCTGCAAATGGCCTTTAACCCATTTTTGATAAACAGATGATCAAAACATTTTTAAGAAAAAGCTGTTTCAATTCTTCCTTTTAAAAAAAGTATTATGCTCTACCACCTCAGTGTCCAGGCATCAGGCTCCCAAATTTGTTTGCACAATACAGTTTTAATCCTTGAATATTGAAGGATTGTCTAGTTACACATATCAAGATAGTACATCTGATAGTAGTTTCTCACTAAAACTACAAAACCAATTATATAACATAATTATAAGTTGCAAATTAATTTTTGCATACAAATACTTCCCATGTAGACATTTTTAACGTTTGCATTTCAATGCATTTGAAAACATAAGAAACAAACTTTGAAAAAATACCAACCTTATCATATGGCCAGTTTAATATTAGTGTCAAATTAAAGTATTATAGGTTCAATTACAGTTGCTGCATAAAACAATGAAATACAGGAAAACACAAAATAAAAAGACATTATTAATCTATAATAACCCATCATTTAACCAGTTATTTCTGATCTTTCTTTCCATTGACATGGACTTTGGCATTGACAAGCAAATTAGAGAAATTTTAATATAGATTACAGAGAAGAGCAACCAGGATGATTAGGGAACTGGAGGCTAAAACATACAACGAATGATTGCAGGAACTGGGCTTGGCTAGTCTAGTAAAGAGAAGGACCAGGGGAGACATGATAGCAGTCTTCCAATATTTGAGGGGCTGCCACAGGGAGGAAGGGGTCAAGCTATTTTCTAAAGTGCCTGTAGGCCAGACAAGGAATAATGGATGGATGGAAACTGAACAAGGAGAGATTTAGCCTGGAAACAAGGAGAAACTTTCTGACAGTGAGAACAATGAACCAATGGAAAAGCTTGCCCTCGGAAGTTGTGGGAGCTCCATCACTTGAGACTTTCAAGAAGAGATTGGACTGCCATTTGTCAGAAAAGGTGTAGGGTCTCCCGCTTTGGCAGGGGGTTGGGCTAGATGACCTACAAGATCCCTTCCAGCTCTGATTATCTGTATCTGTATCAGATTTAGAATACATATTTTAACCAGACTTCAGAACACTATTCCTTCCATGACCCTTCAACAATATCAGTTCTGAATATAAAAAAAATCATAACTCAAATTAAATACATTTCTTCTCAAATTATTTAGCCTGACATTATCCTACTGAGTGTGACAGTATAGATCAGAGTTCAGGGATTTGATGGAATCATGGACATCCAGATTCTTAATATTTTCCATACATTGTTACTACAGTCTGTAGCAGAAAATACCCTGGATCACATCTGGCACTTCCATACATGGTTTTGCTGCACAGTGTTTTTAACTATTTGTGAAACTGACTATATATCCCCAGCTCCTTAACTTTCCACTTTGTGATGGTGTTTCTTATCTTTGTATCTGCAAAATGGGCATACAAAATATGATACCCATAGAACTGCTTCCTCATTCCAACTCTTCTCACAAGATGCATACTTCATCTAGAATGTCTTTGCTTTTATAAAATGATCCCAAATGCCACATTTCTGTAATATTCCCAGGGAAGCAAGTCTCTGAGAAATAATTAGAGTCCATTTATGCCAGATGCAAAGAAAGAAATATATTCCCCCTACCTCCTTGTTTGCTTTTGCTAACACTTTGCTAACACAAGTCTTGGATGATATGATCAAAAGTACCAGATGAGACAGAGGAGGGATGCTGCTTAGCGAACTAGCTATAACTTATGCAGTGCTTATTAGTTTTCCTGGGTGATGAATTTAATTGACTTTAGTTTTCCTGGATGATTGATTTAGTTGAATTTAGTTTCTATCCCAAATTCCACCAACCTGTTGCTTCTTCACCCTTTACAAATAGCGTATGCATTCCATCTTAACAGGATGATGGAGGGGTGTAAGTAATCCAGGACCTTTGAGGGAAAGCATCTGCCCCTTTTCTTGGCTTCAAAAAATAATTCTCCCCTCCTTGCTCCCTTCTGAGCCAATCGTACCATATTTTATAATATGGTTACCATACCATACCAAAAAAGATGTAGAGACTCTGGAAAGAGTGCAGAAAAGAGCAACAAAGATGATCAGGGGCTGGAGGCTAAAACACATGAACAAGAGTTGCAGGAATTATATTTGTCTGACTTAGTGGAAAGAAGGACTAAGGGTGACATGATAGCAATGTTCCAATATTTGAGGGGCTGTCACAAAGAAGAGGAGGTTAACCTAATTTTCGAAGCACCAAAAGGCAAGATAAGACACATAGTTGGAAACTAATCAAGGAGAGAAGCAATCTGGAATTAAGGAGAAACTTTCTAACAGTGAGAACAGTTCATCAGTGGAACAGCTTGCCTTCAGAAGTTGTCACTGGAGGCTTTTAAGAAAGAGACTGGACAGCCACTTGTCTGGAAGGGGATAGGATTTCCTGCCAGGGCAGGGGTTAGACTTCCAACTCTATTCTGTACTTACAAGTAAGAGGTGAAGATGCTGAGGTTGGCGGGCATATCTGTGAGGCCCAGGTCGGCGCAGTCCACCCGCAGGAGCATCCCGTCTGGCTCACAGTGACAGAAGCCCGGGCAGCTTCTTTGGCGCGTCCCCAGTCCGGACGGCAACCGGAGCAAGCTGAGGAGAAGCAACATGCGGGCAGGGACGGCTGCAACCGCGGCGGTGTCCATGGTGCCAAAGCAGCGCGGGGGCAAACGGGGACTGCTGCAAAGCTGCTTTTCCAGAAGTAGAAGGAGCTTCTGACATTCCCCCCCCAACCCCCCGCCCCTTTAACTATCTAACCAGACGGAGCGCGTGCCGGAGCGCGTGCCGGAGAGGGAAGTTGGGGGGGCGAAGGCGGTCGGTCTGAAGCTTTCCGGGACAAGCCTAACTTGAGGGCGAGGGGTGGCGGAGCGCGCACGTGCCAGCGCAGCTGTGGGTGAGGGCGCTGGAAGGCCGCCCGCTGCCGTTAACCCAAACGACTGCTGCCGCGCTCGGCTCTCTATGGGAGCATCTCAGTTTACACGCCGTTTTTAAAGAGCAGAAGTCTAAACCGCGCGCCCCTACTGACGTAGCCCCAGCGCTGCCTGCTGCGAGCTCGCAGCTCCTGCCGCTGCACGCCGGAGGTCGTGTTTGCTTCAGCTAGCCAAAACTCGCGATCTGGACTGAAACCGGGAGGGCGCGGGGGGGGGGAGGACGGGGGGGACAGGGGAGGGCTTCTGGCGCTGTCGCGGTTCGTGTCGCTGGAGCCCGCGAAAACAAGTCGGGGGCGCTGAGAGGCAGAGCGAGCAGGTTCCCTCCCTCTTCCCTCCCTGGCGGCTTTTTGTGCCAAACGGGAAAAGGTCGGTTTGGCTGGCAGCAGCTCAAGTGTCCGAGGCGATGGCCATTTGCGCAATTAAGGCGGCTGAGATAAAAGGTTGTTTTCTTCCCGCTCCCCACCCATCTTTGGAGCCACCTGGAGTAGTTTGCCTTACTCGGATTGCCAATTTTCCGCGCTCTCTCCGCAGACGCGTCTATAAAAGTTGGAAGGTGGCGCGAAGTCAGCAGGTGCAGCCACAGAGAGTGCAGTACAGAAGAAGCCTGCTCTGTCATCCAGAGAGATTCGCATTACAGAAGCCACTCTAGCTGAATGTTAGGAGACGATTCCTAACGCTAAGTTTCCTCCCCTGAACAATCAATTAGCCAGAGAAGCGGTGGGATCCCCTTTACTGGCTGGGTTCAAGCACAGGCTGGAGGCGGTCACTTGCATTCCTTTGCATTCCTGACAGAACATAAAAGTTGACTTCTGTGGCCTAAATCGCTTTTTTTTTTTTACTGTCAATATTTTTATGAAACTTTCTGAATTGCTGAGCTGAAGTGTTTTGACATGGAAGTTTGTTGTGCCTATTGCCAATTTGAAGACAGTCTCTACTGCCTTTGTTTTGAATAGAAATTGGCAATAGCCACAACAAATTTATTTATTTATTTGATTTGTCAATTGCTTACAAGATGATAGGTATAAGTATAAACATAATTATGAATACATGAAATGGATACATATAAGAAAATAAAAGGAAACAATAGGACAGGGAAGGTAGGTGTTGGTGCACTTATGCACACCCCTTACAGACTTCTTAGGAAAGGGGTGAGGGACTGGTGTCCCAAGTAACAAAACCTAACAGATTAGGGTGACAAAACCTAACAGATTTCAAACAACTCAAGGCTGCTTTGGGTGATGTTTAAATAATTGGCAAAATGCAACTTTAATAGCTGTATGGCAAAGGGCAACTTAACCCTTGCCTCATTTAAGGGCTGGGACTGAAATGGAGGCAACATAAGAAAAACTATGTTTTTTTGACAGATGCTTATGTCTTAGGTGGTCAAGTGCAAATGGAAAAAGACTCTGTGATTCCATGTGGAACTATACTATAGATGAGGCCTCCTTCATTTAATACCCTCTTCAACTTGTGCTGGGTGGGGTGAAATTCAATGTATTCGAAACATACTAGGCAGGGAATTGTAGAACTGGTTTGGTGCAACAGTTAAGGCATCAGGCTAAAAATGGTTAAGGCATCAGGCCAGAGTTTCTAGTTGAGTCTTGGGCATGAAGCCAGCTGGGTGACCTTGGGCCAGAGAAAGTCTTTGGGCCTATTTGGGCCCACTTTCTCTGAGACCTAGGAAAGAGGCAATAGCAGATCATTTCTGAAAAACCTCACCAAGAAAATGGCAAGGACTTGTCTAGGCAGTCTCCAAGAATTTGACCTAATTGAATGGAAAGGGGAGGGGGGAAAGGTTAGTGGAAGATACAGGCAATATTTCTATGGTTTGATTTTTGTAGTAATCTCTGTTTTCATCCCACAGAACAAGCACATTTTGGGGATTTACACTTCCACAGCCAATTTATACAGCCAAGGTAATCCCGTAAATGTTACTGAGTAAAGGTTCACTGAGTAAAGGTTCACTGAATACACTGAGTAAAGATTTTTTTCTTCACAAAGTACCATTGCTTCAGAGGTGGGCTGCTGCCAGTTTGCACCAGTTCGGGCAAACCAGTAGTTAATATTCTGCGCATTTCGACAAACTGGAAAATCCCACCACTAACTGGCCCTGCCCCAGCTAATTTTTGGCCTGTTTTCCAGACCATTTTTGGGCCAAAAATGGCCCCAAAACCGGCCTGAAAATAGGCCCAAAGAAGGCCAAAATGGCCTGCTTTTAGCCATTTTTAGACCATTTCTGGCCATTTTTCTGGCTGTTTTCTGGCTGGTTTTTTGGACCAAAACCAGCCCAAAACTGGCCTGAAAACATCCTCCAACGGGTGGCGGTGGGGCCAGCCAGTGGTGGGATTAGCCCCAACCAGTTGAATCTGACCACTGCCTTTGAGGCAAGTGGCTGGGAGGCAGGGCTGGGTGTGATGAGCGATGTTGCCCGGTCACATGACCAACTAGCCACGCCTATCCAGCCAGAGAACTGGTTGTTAAGTTATTCCAATCCTACCACTGCATTGCTTGGGTTGCAGTTCAAATGAATGCCAGTTTTTATACAATCATTGTGAATTGTTAATCAGTTTTAGTCAATTTGGAATCACAGTTCAGAGTCTGAAAACCCTGCTTCATTTTAATTGATACTACACTGCTCAAAAAAATAAAGGGAACACTTAAACAACACAATGTAACTCCAAGTCTGTGAAATCAAACTGTCCACTTAGGTAGCAACACTGATTGAAATCAATTTCACATGCTGTTGTACAAATGGAATAGACAACAGATGGAAAGCATAGGCAGTTAACAAGACATCCCCAATAAAGGAGTGGTTCTGCAGGTGGTGACCACAGACCACTTCTCAGTTCCTATGCTTTCTGGCTGATGGTTTGGTCACTTTTGAATGCTGGTGGTGCTTTCACTCTAGTGGTAGCATGAGACGGAGTCTACAACCCACACAAGTGGCTCAAGTAGTGCAACTCATCCAGGATGGCACATCAATGCGAGCTGTGGCAAGGTTTGCTATGTCTGTCAGCGTAGTGTCCAGAGCATGGAGGTGCTACCAGGAGACAGGCCAGTACATCAGGAGACATGGAGGAGGCCCTAGGAGGGCAAGAATCCAGCATCAGGACCTCTACCTCCACCTTTGCGCAAGGAGGGACAGGAGGAGCACTGCTAGAGCCCTGCAAAACGACCTCCAGCAGGCCACAAATGTGCATGTGGCTGCTCAAATGGTCAGCAACAGACTCCATGAGGGTGGTATGAGGGCCCGATGTCCACAGGTGGGGGTTGTGCTTACAGCCCAACACCGTGCAGGACGTTTGGCATTTTCCAGAGAACACCAAGATTGGCAAATTCGCCACTGGCGCCCTATGCTCTTCACAGATGAAAGCAGGTTCACACTGAGCACATGTGACAGACATGACAGGGTCTGGAGACACTGTGGAAAATGTTCTGCTGCCTGCAACATCCTCCAGCATGACTGGTTTGGCAGTGGGTCAGTAATGGTGTGGGGTGGCATTTCTTTAGGGGGCCACACAGCCCTCCTTGTGCTCGCTAGAGGTAGCCTGACTGCCATTAGGTACCGAGATGAGATCCTCAGACCCCTTGTGAGACCATATGCTGGTGCCGTTGGCCCTGGGTTATTTAATTGCCAGTAATATAAATATTAGCCCTAGAATTAAAGTACTGTGTTTTTATCTTATTAGAAGCAGGGTATGACTGGATTTGAATTGTTTATTTTGTGCTCATGCCAAATATCTGTACTTTAAACCAGACCCTTCAAGTTATTTGAGAATTTCATTTATGTAAGATCTCTCAACACATTCCATATAGGAAATCACAATTACTACTCCAAAATAGGATATTGGACTAGATCCAAATTTAGGCATGTGCACAGAGCTTTGGGCAATACACTAGTCCCTCGGCAGCTCCTGGAATATGCTGTATGAATATATAGGGACACTGATTTGAGGACTAAGAACTCAACAGAGGAACTTAAATTTGACCATTCTTGTGTTTTTTGAATTTTTATGCTTGCTTAAACCAAAAACATTGACTCAGACTTTCCATTATGTTTGTAGTTTTGTTTTGGATAAGGTGGACTTGCTAGAAAAAGCTTTGGGAATTATAGTATTTTCGTTCATATAGTCTCTCTATCCCTGTACATAATTAAGAAGACATGTGTACCTTCTTCTCATTAAATTGATGGGAACAGGAACAGTAGAAATTTCTGTTACCCCTCTTATTAAGAGTCACACTTTGCCAATAAACTTGTGAACCTTTAAAGTGTCTGATCTACAGCCTGTTGTGGAAAAGAATCCAACTGTGAAGCATGAACAGTATCCAAACTGGCAAAGAATTTTATGGTATCATTTGACTACTGTTGCAATACACAAGTATTTCTTTTGTCTTTAGCAAGCTGTCCTTTTTTAAGGGAAAAATAACTTTTCTGGACCAGCAGACTGTTAAATAGATCAAGAAAAGAATAATTGTGCCGAGGCTCTGAAATTAGGAATTAAAAACTAGAGTAATTATAGTAGAGATAATATCGGTTGAATGGGATTTCACAGAAACAAAAAGAATCTCGGATTGCTTTAATGTGTGTATGTTTGTGTGCAAATGAGTGAGAGTGAGATAGAGAAAGATCAATGTGCAAATAGGGTGCAAAAACAAAAAGAAAAGCCAAGAAAAGAGACCAGTATTTAAATTTAAGGCAGCTACAGGTTTTCTAAAAGATATGTCCTGAATGATGAAAAAAAAACTTGGAGTCAACTTGATGTTTACATAACTATTTAACTGTGTTCTAGATCAGTCCCACATAGAATTGTATCCATTCATAACACACAACTATTGGCTCAAAGACTAAAGAGTAATACCTATTAGGTATCAACAGGCAACTCAGAAATTAATGTTCTATTTTTCTTTTTTAAGGGTATATTCATCCAAGAATTGTGTGACAGTTCAAAAGCAGATCCAAATGTCTGTGATCTATGATGCTGGCTGTGTTTAAGAACTGGTCAAATTTATTTCTTGTTCAACTATGGAATACTTGAGCTTGAAGTAAAACGAGAAATATGAGCCCCATCCCTCCATTCAGAGGATCTTATGACT